CAGAATTCAGTGTGCATTTCTGAACTAGAGCCAGAGAGCAGCTCCACTGATTATCTTTCCTGGGTATGCTGTCAAGTGGATTCCTTCCTACATAAAATGGAGCTGGATACTCAAAATATCACAGAGCTTCCTACAAATGAGCCCATCGCTCCATTTGGTTCCACACATACAAGCTTACGCACCTGTACATATGGACACTGAGCATAGGAAATCATTCACTCCACACCTCCGAGGCTACTGCAGCCATGCTAATTTTTCCCCTGGGCCTTTAAAGGAAAAGGCACAGGATGCCTCCACAGCCAGCTTCCTGGAAGATGATCACTCATCCTTGCAGGTTTTCCAATTTTTCCTTTCTAGGGAACCCTGAAACCCACATGTCCTCCTGGGCAGAGAGGTATGCCTGGCTCTGGATCGAACTAGTAACGTATGGAGTTGGAGGGGGCCATGAAACCAGGTCATTTCCTGCTCCCCAGCAGCCTTTCACGCAGACATTTTCCCTCCCGACATGGATTCGGCCAAAGGGCCCCCTCCAATATTAAGACTCCCCCACCAGGAGAGCATTTGTCTCCTTGCAATCGGCTGCATAGCACCCCTTGGATGAAGGGGAGGGGCGATTGCAGGGGAGGCTCCCGCTTCTGCTCAGCAGAGGAAGGGGCTCATTTGCATGGAGGGCAGTTCCTCTGCTCGGGGCTGTTTAAGGGGCGAGAAGGGGCTCCCCTGCCATCTCCTTTCCCTGGCAGGTCAGACCCCGTGGGAGAGCTCACCATGGCCTGGGCCCTGCTTTCCTTGGCACTTCTCCACTTCTGCGCATGTAAGGATGGGGGGAGGCCCTTTCCTTGACTGCGGGGGCAAAGACCAACCTTATTCCGTATGTCTCCTCTTTTTGCTATTTGCATTGACCGGGGCAATTGGTGTTTCCGTTTTGTTTTGTCCAGGGGCCTCTTCACAACCTGCCTTGACTCAGCCGTCCTCCTTGTCCGCGCCTCTGGGGCAAACCGCAAAACTCTCCTGCGACAGAAGTGGTGGGAGCAGCTGGTACGCTTTCAGCTGGTACCAGCAGAAACCGGGTCAGGCCCCTCGCATGCTGATCTATGCTGACAGCAGCAGGGGAGATGGGATCCCGGACCGGTTCACCGGTTCCAGCTCTGGCAACACCGGCCATCTCTCCATCGCAAATCTTCAGGCCGACGATGAGGCTGATTATTACTGTGCTGCCGGGGAGGGCAGCAGCAGCACATTACACAGTGGCACATCTGGATGGGGAACTGAGACAAAAACCGGCACTCCTCCTCTCCAGGGTGCTGCGCCACGATACTTGGCTTGAAGGGACCTTGCCTTGCTCTTCTTGTGCTTGTGGAGCTTGTTTGGTTCCCCAGCGCTTCTTGAGCAAGCCACTCGATTTGAATGGGGAGCGTGAGCCGTGCAGTGGGGCAGGAAGAAAGCCCACCAGGGGCTCTGAAGAGGATACCGGGTGCGGAGCTGCAGGTCTCTTGGGTAGCTCAGCCCTTTGCTAAATTTCTAGTTCTCCATGGCTGTGGGTTCCCACCTGTCATCTGTGGCAAGTCCGGAGAAGGACAGAGTGAGGGTGGATGGGTGTGTCCATCACAAACTCCCCAGCGAAGAGCACCTGAATGCAGCCAAGCCGAGACCATGAGCCCTGAGATGCAGCCTGGTGGTCCCTCCACATGGGATGTTTCCAGAGCCCTGGAAAAGCTCCAGGAGGAGGAGGCCAACCATGGCTGCACGTCCTGAGGGCCCTGGGTGCAGGAAAAGAAGCCCCCTCTTCAGAATGGTCGGTCCCTACCCATGGTTCAGAGTGACACAATGTGGTCATGGACGGAGAGGGAGCGCAGCGTGAGACCCACAGAAACCGGGTCAGGCCCCTCGCCTGCTGATCTATGGCAATGGCAGCAGGGGAGATGGCATCCCAGACGCATTCAGGGGTTCCAGCTCTGGGGACACGGGCCAGCTGACCGCCAGGGATCTCCAGGATGGGGAGGAGGCTGAATCTGACACTGCTGCTTGGGGAGACAGCAGCAACGTGTCTCCCAGGGGCACGTTGTGATGGGGAGCGGAGACCAAACCCTGCGCTTCTCCTCCTCTAGGCTGGTGAGCCGCGACTCTGGCCTTGCACTGCCCCTGAAGCTGTTGAATCACTGTGCCTGAAGAAAGTGAAGCCCCTGGTTGGCCTGTTTTCTGCCTCCCTGCACAGCTCGAACTGCACCATCCAATCTGCATGGCTTCCTCCATGAATGCCGAGAATCCAAAATTTTTCCTCAGGAGTGGAAGATCAGGCCAGCTCAGGCCCCTGCAGCCTTCAAATATGAACCTATGGCATGGCAAGGCAATCCAAGATGGGAATGCCAGGTAGTTTTTGGAGAGGAATGTTGATCTGATTGGGAGACTATGGTGAGCATGATCAAATGATCAGATTAATTGAAGGAGAGCTGATTTGACTGGCCTCTTTTTGTAAATGATGCAGGTGGTATTTCTGGTGAAACAAGGTAAACTGTGCATTCTTTGTCTCTTGAAGAAAGAACCCAGGGATCCTTTCTTCAAGGTTGCTTCACCTCCGGCTCCGTGATATGCATGGTGAATTCTTCCCATCACATTGGCGCTCTGAGCAGCCGTGTGGATGAAGAGCAGAAGAAATGGTGGTTTCATCCAGTACAGGTCATTTTAGGGGACTCTTTCTCAGCTACAGATAACATTGAGATCTGGGGAGCAATACTTCATACTTTGACCTGTAAATTTTGATGGAGCATAGAAACAATGTCCTTCAGTGGATGTACATTCAGGCTGATGGAATGTTTCATGGAGTTTTTGTACAGAGTCACGGCTTTTACGAAGGACGCAGATGAACTGTGCTTGAACTGTATTCCTCGGTTTGGAGCACACAAAATGCCAGAGAAGCAGTCTTATGCAAATAGGGGGTGGGCATCTTGGTCTTAGGCAGGATTTGAGAAAATTAGGTTTACAGCAAGCAAGAAGGATACAGCTGAGGTTTGGAGACCATTTTGACTGGGCAGATGTTGCTCATGTCCCAGAAGGACTAGCCTGTACTAGCCCTTTTCTAACTCACGAGGAACGGAATGTGAGCCAGGCTCTACCAGAAACCCCAAGAAGCAGGATGGGGCCATTTGAGCACAGGGACAAAGCTGATCACACTCTCCCCTTGACAGCAGCAATACTGGCAAATGTTGACGCTCGAACGAAAGGGCTGCATTCACCTGCCCTTGACTCGCTCCCTTCCAAAGGCACGCTAGCTCTGGGATGGCCGCCTGCTATCCCGACTGTCACCTGGAGGGGGCGATGCTGCTCCGCGCGTGGCGAGGTTGACAGACTGCAGTTCTAGCAGCACGAGGTGCCGAATGCCAATTCAAGGCTTCCTACCTCCATAAAATGCTGAGCACTGGCCCTTGGCAGATTAGCTGTTTGCAAGGGACGATTCAGGGCCCAGTGAGCTGCTCACGGATTGTGTGGGAAGCAGGAAAAGATATTGCGGTTCACCACGACAGGTTTTCCATGTTCTGTCACTGAAACACGGTTGGCGAACACTTCCAGAAAGAGGGAGAGAAAATGCACCACAGCTTTCAAGAGTGGCAGGAGTTAATTCAGCCCAATTTGGGGGATTACGCATAGCCACCCAGTCTCGGGAATACCTGCGTGACTCTGAAAGGACAGGGAAAGAAAGTGGAACGCTTCTCAGGTGCGTGTTTGCCACGTTGTCTGACTGTTCCAGTGCAAGCTCTGCTCCCACCCACATGAGCTTGCCGGCTTCCAGGGAGCCTTGGCTCTGGATCCAAAGAACGGCTTCTGGCCCTGGGCATCAGGCGTAGCAGTCATGGGGTCCCCAGGGAGCCATGGCCATTGTCCCGAATGCCCTGTATTTCAGGGAGCTTTCCAACCTCAGCCCCTTTTCTGAGAGAGTCATCAACATTATACATCACCTTCAACAAGAAAAGGGCTTTGTCCTCTGCAAACCTTGGAGTTGGATTTCTTTTTATGGATGTGCAAATTGCTTTCATTGCAGACATAACATGGCTGGAGTGCCACAAGGAGGCACTCCAGCCATGCAATGCGGGTTCTCCCAGGTCCATCAATTCTATGCAGAATTCAGCATACAGTTCTTAATTGGGACCAGGAGGGCAGTTAAATGATTAATTGTTCTCAAGCGCATGCTGTCGGATGGGCTCCTTCTTTTATGGAATGGAGCTGAAGCCACAAATCATTTCAGTTCTGACTGCAGAATTATCTCAGTGCCGCTTTTAATTCTGAACACACACACACACACAAATACACACACATTAACTCACTCCTTAATCTATAGAGAAATAAGACATAGGAAGTTTTTCACCTCACTGCTCCCTGCCTGCTGCAGCAAAGCTAACTTTCCTCCTGGGACTTGGAAAGGAAAAGTCACGGGATGCCTCCACAGCCGACTTCTTGAAGGATGATCACTCATCCATTCATATTTTCCCATTTTGGATCACATCTCCCCGTGAAGGAAAAGGAAGTTAAAATGTTTGCATTCGAGTCAAATCCTTTGTTTCCTTTGTGCCTGCGCAGTCTCATTTCCAAAGCTAAGAATTCCTTTCGGAAGGCTGCCTTCTAATGTACCGTTCACCTGCAGGGGGAGCTCCTGCC